CATTGATCATTGACGAATATGGCTACTGTAAAGGAAGGCAAGGCTCCTATGAGAACGGAAAGAGACGCTTTCGTGGAGAAGGACGCGCCTGTAGTGACGTATTACCATTTTTATTATTATTAAGCTTTATCCGTCTCTCTGGGCGGAAGTGGTGTAGTGGCAAGTGGCACGCTTACCACGCGAGCGGTCCGGGGATCAAATCCTGGGTCGTGAGTCGCCCGGGCCAACCAAGCCTTCCATCCCTCCGGGGTCGGTTAATTGGTACCAGACTTGTCTGGGAGGATAAAAACACTGACTTGTACATCGGCTGGCCCCGCAAGTCATTGTATAGGCCACATCGCATTCAAACGCCACTACGAATGTACAAATGGAAGTAGAATGCGTGCCGCATCCCAAAAAGGGATTGATCAACGGCAAATGCTTTATCCTTTATCCTTATCCCTTCCGACCGAACTTAAATTATTGCAGGCCAAAAGCTGCAGGAAGGCGCATTCGACACACCCCAGTTCTCAACGCGATTTCTCCTTTAAGAATTATGTTGAAAAGAGGAGAGGGGAATTGGTGGTTCGTCAAAGATATACCTGGGCTATATGAAGGATAGCGCAAAACCTTTCAGCCCTTTTCGATGGATTTTACAGAGCGTGCTTTTGCTGGTAGGCAGCCTAGCGCTACCGTGGTTGAGGATCGGACCTCCACGGTTTGTTCCTTGAAGCAGACTATCATCCCGTAGTTTCTTATGCTTTATGTTCTACTCTTTACGGCAGGACCCCACCGTCAATCGTCAGAAATTGAGGGAAATCCCTGATGAAACTGCTCCAGGTTTACCTATGAAACGAAGCAGCTCAATTCCGTCCAAATATTTAGTAACTGTCCCATTGTTAGCGTTGAAAGCATAGTCTTATCCTACACTCATCTTGAAAACAGTTCCTTACTGTTGCAAGGAAGAGTCTAAGCACACACCTCCACGCGCGTCGCAACGATTCAAGCTGCCAGCAGGGTCAGTTCGATGAATAAATTGACGACATTTTTCCTCCTTTCTCACAGCGTATACTTGGCTGAGTTCGGTGCCTTCAAAGGCAAACCCCGGGATTAGCCCGATTTGGGGAACCTACCCACAAAGGTCCCTACCTATGTATTTAGATCACTCCACTTTTGCCGCAAAAGTTGCGTGGCTAGGGCGCTAATCCTCACGAGACTGCAACCATCGACCCCCGTTGCAACGCTTCGAGCGAGATAGTGTGAACTCGAACATTCCAGCTTTTCACGCATGTCAAGTGACTGCCCTCACCCCCACCCCCCTAGACTGCCTACAGTCCCCCTGGCTCACGGATTTCGAAGTACGCAAAGATGCCAGGCGAGCAAAGCGCCGCGCCGCCGCGTGGTCCCCCCAACTAAGTTAGCACCCATATTGTTGCCTTATACGTGGACGACAAGTCCCTCCCTATACATGCAATCACAGAAAGCTAATTCACGTACCGACCATAGTCATCAAGTAGGTGTCTGAGGCTAACCCTCCTCTGTTTATTTCCCACAAGCTGGAGTCTAAATTGGTAGAGAGGAGCTCTAAAATAAACGAGTACAGTAGGTTTTTCCAGGATGTTGCTCACCGTCTCATCGCCCTCATACACAGGCTTCAGCAAGCATTGCTGAATATGTGGGTACGTAGTGAAGTCAATAAGGCCGCGTTCATAGTTCGCGACTCCGGAGATTAGGATGGTACGCGACAATGAAATACATATGTATTGACGGCGAGATTAGGATAGTAGTAGATTAGGATAGTAGTAGAGTAGGAGATTGCGCTGACAAGATTAGATACGTATCGATTGAAATCGCTGGAGAGTAGTAGATTGCGATATTACGATAGTAGGATAGTAGTAGAGTAGGAGATTAGGATAGTAGTAGATTAGGATAGTGCGCTGACAAGATTAGATATGTATTGATCTATTCGCTTGAAGTCGCCCAATCTACTACTCTCCAGCGATTTCAATCGATACGTATCCAATCTTGTCAGCGCAATCTCCTACTCTACTACTATCCTAATATCCTGTCGCCTACTATCCTAATCTCCCGAGTCGCGAACTATGAACGCGGCCTAACAAAAAAAGTTGGCTCAAGACCACTCCCTGAAGACTAACATTGCGCCCTCTGAGGGTTTTCCTCCTCAAAGACAGGTGGTAAGATAAACTGGACATTGATCATTGACGAATATGGCTACTGTAAAGGAGAACGGCAAGGCTCCTATGAGAACAGAAAGAGACGCCCCGTAGAAGGACCGCATGTAGTGACGTGTTACCGATTTTTATTACTAAATTACGATGTAAGTAGGCAAGTAGGCACGCTTACACGCGAGCGGTCCAGCCGAGCAAATCCTGGGATCGTAGGTCGCCAGGCTAAGCCTATCATTCTATTACGGGGTCGGTTAATTGGTACCAGACTTGTGTCTGGAGGATAAAAAACACTGACTTGTACATCGGCTGGCCCCCGCAAGTCATTGTATAGGCCACATCGCATTCAAATGCCACTGCGAATGTACAAATGGAAGTAGAATGCGTGCCGCATCCCAAAACGGGATTGATCAACGGCAAATGCTTTATCCTTTATCCTTTCTCTGAATTACACCCTCCTCGGTTAGCTGCCCAGCAGCTGGTCTCTCATCATCAAACCGTAACTATTCTGGTAGGAACGCAGAGCGTATTCACAATAACCCATCTAATTTCGGGAACGAGAAGAGCGGGCGAGCGCAGACCCCACGCTACCATAAGCTGGACGAACGACCAGAGAAAAGTGGCTTTTTCTCTTTCCTTTTTTTTCTTGGCCGTCGTCACTTGTGGTGTGTGGTCTGCGCTCGACTACCAGTTGACTAAAATGAAAAAGAAGCAAGGAAAACCGTCAATGAAGCCCTGAACAAAGACCCCTTCCTTGAAATGAGAATGGGTGCGGCCAGACGAGTTGTACGAAATTGCCTCCGCCACGGCTCAAATTACCGGCGCTATTTAATTAGCGCTATGCCGTAATACCAGTATGCGTGTCATGGGGTGTGCGCGACGTAACTCGTCCAGATGCTGAAATCCCCCGCCAAAAGCTGACTTTGAAAGACCCTAGCGCCATAGTTGTGCAGTTTCAAGCTACGACAACGACACATCTGTGATACTCATGGGCTACTCTATCCACATGCAATAGATTCTTCGACACGACTGCTGCTGAGGTGGGGGAAGGGTGCTAATCCCTTTTCGTCGCTTTTTGCGCATTTGCATGCAAGTCGAGAAATCTTAGGTCGGTCAAAAAGTATCCGCCGTTTCGAGCCCTTAACTTTGAAGCACCACAACCTTGCTAGAACACAACCTTTCGATTTGGGATCAGAACTTTTGTCATTATATTTTATTCAATCGCGACTCGTTCCAGCAAGCTTCCCTTCCGACCGAACTTTAAATTATTGCAGGCCAAAAGCTGCAGGAAGGCGCATTCGACACACCCTAGTTCTCAACGCGATTTCTACTTTAAGAATTATGTTGAAAAGAGGGGAATAGGTGGTTCCTCAAGAAATATATCTGGGCTGTATGAAGGATCGCAGAAAAACCTTTCAGCCCTCTTTTGATGGATTTTACAGGGTGTATTTTGCTGGTAGACAGTCTAGCACTATCGTGGTTGAGGATCGGACCTCCAAGGTTTGTTCACTCGGAGCAGACTATCATAACCGTAGTTTCTTTTGCTTTATGTTCTATTCTTTACGGCAGGACTTCACCGTCTTTTCGATTCCCGGAACCTAATACTGAGCTAAACCGCTAGAAATGGAGTGAAATCCTTGTTGAAAGTGCTCCAGGTTCTTCAAAGGAAGCAGCTCAATTAAGCCCAAATTTTTAGTAACTGTTCCATTGTTAGCGTGCAGAACCATATTTTTCCTACACTATTACCATCTTGAAAACGGTTCCTTACTGCTGCAAGGAAGAGTCTAAGCACAAACCTCCACCCGCGTCAAAACGATTCAAGCTGCCAGCAAGGGTCAGTTCGATGGCATTTTCCCTCCTTTCTCACAAACGTATACTCGGCTGCTTTTAAAGGTGAACCTCTGGGTTAGCCCGATTAGTGGAAGGATACCGCGAGGGAAATTGTAAGGTCCCCACCTACTGAGGATCGCTCCAGCTTCGTCGCAAAAACTGCGCGATGAGGGCGCTAATCCTTACGGGCCTGCAACCATCGACCCCATCCACCACCTCGGACTCGGTAGTGCTTTCTCGAATGATGATTTCGTCGCCTGCTTGCCTTCTTTGACTGCCCTCCTTGCCATCGTTCCACATACGACTTTTTCGAAGGGAAAGGCCTTAATTTCAGCGATCCCAAAGTTCTCTAGCTTTCATTCCCACTTTCAGGCCGTCCCGCAGCTCAGTCATCAAGCGTTCTTAGCATTGATTTTATCCCGGAGCTTGCCTTTAAGGCCCAACCTCTGAAAGGCGCACCTGTAGTTAAGTATTCGTGATAAGATCCCTTCATTTCTTTTGCACAATCCCGTACATTGAGGCCCCCTTTTACTACGCCATCAATTTCAAGCTTTATTTCTCCAGACTCAAGCAGGACGAGCTGATCTCGCGCTATGCGTTTTTTCTAGTTCCATTCCTTATCAACGCAGTCGCCATGTTACCAGCTGGCCTCTCCGGCCGTGTCTCTTTCAAGTTTGACGACGTGCAACATCAAAAATTTCACGATTTGCTTATCCTAAAAAGGAGGGTAAAACGACAGAAGTTCTCGAGAATCACCTCGAAGCTTCGTATGAATATGAAAGGGCTGATCTTCCTCTATAAGACGACACCCAAGCTTGTTTGAATAGTTTGGAAGAAAATTCACAAAAAATGCAGGGGAAACACTCGAGGCTGCAGAACGGCGGATCTTTTTCGACCGACCTAATAGAATCAAGTGAATCGTTTTGAATTCCGTAACGATTGCCCAGTTTCTCATTACTAAACCATGCCGTTCCTATAGTGGTGTGAAGTTTGTTGATTCAGGCCGTCTCTGAACTCTGAAGCGTCAAAATAGAAACCTTGCGTCCTTAGCCCCTCTATATTGTGGTTGTATGTGATAATAGTGAGAGTCAGAGATGTGGGACATACCGGATGGTAACTTCAAACGCATTTGAGATATACGAAATCCTCCTACCAGCATTTGTCGAATCAACGAAAACCTTAGTAAATCAATATCATAATTAAATGGAATCGATATTCTCTGTGACTAAAAGTCTCACTCTTTGACGAATGGATCCACACCATCTGCTATATTCACACATCGCCCGTCCATCAGACATATCGATTTCTCACTGTAAATATCGGTGCTGTATTTACCAGCCCTTTTCTATGAGAACTCCAAAAAATCATTATTGATCAACCCATTTCGCAACCGCGCAGGATTGCGCAATAGCAGCAGCATCAGGAGGTTTTTCTTCAATACTGACATTTTCTCTGGCCAGGGCTGGCGTAGATGAGCGAGGATATGAGGACTCTTTTATGAAAGAAAACTTTCCAAATTCCAATTCAAGCGCCTGCAAAAAAAAAGGCCCCCCCCCCCACCAGCTTAAATTTTTTTTGCCCCCATTTGTCCCGAGTAGAGAGACTTTGTCAGCCACGGCATGGCTTGACCATTGTCACGAATGGGTTAAGCATCATATATGCAGCAACGTTTCGCGCATGTTCTTCTATTAGGTCGCGTTCATAGTTCGCGACTCGGGAGATTAGTAGGCGACAGGATATTAGGATAGTAGTAGAGTAGGAGATTGCGCTGACAAGATTGGATACGTATCGATTGAAATCGCTGGAGAGTAGTAGATTGGGCGACTTCAAGCGAATAGATCAATACATATCTAATCTTGTCAGCGCACTATCCTAATCTACTACTATCCTAATCTCCTACTCTACTACTATCCTACTATCGTAATATCGCAATCTACTACTCTCCAGCGATTTCAATC